TACACATATTTTAAAATATTTGAATAATAAAAAGTTGCAAAGTTTGTCAGAATACGTACAGAGTCACAATTAACACACACGATTGCATGGCGTAAAACTTAAACTAACATAACAGATGATCAAAATTATTAAACTTCTTCCTCTCCGATATTTCTCTATAAATTCATTTCGATCGTGCTACTAGACTAAACAAACGAATTACAATAGAAAACGTAACGACCTGTAATTTCTCGTGTTCCCTTCGCGTTGGTCCAACCGTGCCTTTTTAACGAGTTAGAACCAGTCACCGATAAAAATATCCCTGTATATGGGGCATACGTACCGAAAGTTTATCCCGCGCGTTGAAAAATGGGGACCTCTAATATCGGCCTCTAACATCGAATGCATCGGCAAAATACTTGCATAATTACCACCTCCAGTTTCGTGGAATGGACGCGTTGCTGACGTTCCACGAACGAAATTAATCCGGTCTGACTTCGGGTGTATACTTTCATTTCATTCTTCCATCCATCCATTTTTTTTTTTTTTTCTTAAATTATTCTTTCTTCTAACTTAAGCGAGACAAAGTTGGATGATGAATCGTAGACGAGGTGAAGCGATCAAGGGGAATGGCGGGGTAATTTAGAAGAAGAAAAGGAAAAGAAAATAGAGAGGGAGATAGCGGAGGAGATAATCCTTTTCTTTTTTTTCGCGATCAACTTTAATAGGGGCGATTAATTAAGTAATTTTTGTATCATTCCACGAAACACGGAGATCCTGCACAATTATGTTTGCCGTGATAGAATCTCGAAACACGGAGGAAAGATTTCCTGGCTGGGCTATTCCCGGGCTGTGGTGGAACAGTCGTGGTGGAAAATCAAGATTAACTTGCGATAGCATGGATCAAGATTTTTTAATACCGAGTTTTCGATATCTTGGATTATCATCTTAAGCGTGCGAGATATTTTCACGTTTCGCTCTTCATTTCGTACGATGCATTGCTTCCTGTCTCCTTCTAAAGAATTAATTAATTAAAGCGATCCGCGTTGTTTTAGCCTTTACAAGTTCCTTCACTTGGAACGAAATTTTTCTTTCAACGAGTATAAGTGATGGATGAAGATTGAACAAGTCGCAATCGATATTACATTTCTAAATTATATTTTCACGTTGCAAAATATTCCTATTCCTCAAAATTACATAATGTCTCGGCTGTAATTGAATTAATTAAACGCGAAGAGGATGAATGATCCTCTCAGGTATAGAAATTCAAAACTTCGAGTTACTTCGTTACGATCTTCAACGTGCATATATATTAAGAGAAGAACATTCACACCTTTATTACGGAAGATAAAATATGAAAAGATCAACCAAATAAATACGATCAAAAATAAAAGGATCTCTTAAATAAATACGAATGGGTCGTCAGGTGAAGATTAAAAATCTTGCAAAACGTTGGAAATTGTCGATCACCGTTAATAATAATTAGGCTGAGAGGCGGCTGTCTCCTTATTCTACGTTTCTTGCCTCTGCCGGTTCTCCCTCTTGACATTCCGTTTCACGCGAGGCTGTAGTACCTGTACCGGGCGAGTTGTGAACGAGACGCCGGCTCAGCAAGTTTCTTTTTGAAAGGAAGAAAGAGGCGGGCTCGCGGACTACGCGAAGATGAAGAAGCAGGGGAAGGATAAAAGGAGTAATAGGAGTCCAAACAGAAACGATCCGCAAGGTCGACGCAGACGACTCCACTCTCAGCGAGCCTTCGCTCCCGCTTCTTCCTCCGAACCCTTCTGCCTTCCCTTTTCGACGATGTCCTCTCATTTTTATCGATTATGAGATTTCATTCTCTGCTGCTAACCGTTTTTTTTTTTTTTATTTTTCGCGTGTACGTTTCGTCGATTGTCCGTGAAATTGGGGAAAAATTGGAGGCCCAAATTGAAATATTCGTCGAATCGACGCTTTGAGCGAAAGACGATGCTGCGAAAAATGTAACATTTTCGATCAACTCAATGGAATATTTGAAATTATATAAGAAAATTTGGATCGTTGAAGAGGCTGTTGCCATTTCCGACAAGGTTAATCATGATAGCAGCCTTTAAGAAAAAAAAAAAAAAGATATTATCAGACATCATATCGAAGATTGAAACTGTCTCACCTGAAAAACCATTGTTGCGAAAGTCGGTTCTGGCGCAGCTTATTATCAGGGTCTACGTTCTGCCTCCGTTCTCTGCGACGATGGAAAGATCCCGTAGGCCTCTCCTATGTGCGCGGGTTCAACGTTTTAGATCCCGCAAAATTGCGTCCCATTGATGGAATCGCTCGAGTCGGTCGGGAAATATCGTCTTCCCTCGATCGAGCCGGCAACATTTTGCGGACTATCGGCCACCATTCAATTCGAAAATTACTGCTCGGCAGCTGTGTATTGTTGAATACATAATATGTCTGGAAACAAAAAAAAAAAAAAAAGGAATCGATTTTAATCTGCAGATTTTAATATCTCTCGTTGCCTCGCTGCTCGAAAAATATCGTTGTCCTTTTCTCTTTCAAACGTTCGAATAAAATGTAATTTTTAGGTTTAAAGAAGAATTTTCAAAATTTAATGACGATTTTTTTTATCCTTCCTAATTCCGGAATTATCTTGGATCTTTTTGAAAATTTCATAGAAACGTAAAATTTGCAAAAGATGAAAAATTAATTACGTGATAAAAAATGTCGAAGAAATTTTATGCTTTCAAATGTTTATAATGAAAAATGAAGAACTCGTTCTGAAAGGAAAGAAAAAGGAAGAATTCGACGAAGGTTATAGCACATCTTATCGAATCGATCGAACTTATTTTTACATCTTTTAACGAGAAATGCAATACCTTTAATTATGCAGAAAGAAATATGCACTCGGAAATTGTATATTGACGTCAAATATAATAAAAGGTTTCCTATTTCGTATTATTTAACTATTTTATCATTTTCAAATAACTTCATTTTAAATCCAGCAATAAATTTCGAAGAATTGAATATTTTTTGAAACGAACGGATTACGAACGGATTATACTTTTTTTATCTTATCGTGATCAACGATATCTCAAAATTTTTAATCATTCGCTTTCAATTTTCCACTTTCACAAATGATAAACCCTCAAAACCCTCCTCTCCATTAATCCAAATCCATTAATTTTCTACATTTACATCGAAACCACGCCGAGCCACGTCCAACTTCTCGGCAGTCCACCGTTTCAACCCCATCCACGCCACGCGTCTGGCAGTTTATCAAGTTGATTTGCGAGATCGATGCGTCGCGGTATCAAATCGCGATACATCCGCGAATCTCGTTGGGGATCAAATGGCTGCGGACTGTTCGGTCAGACTGTTTCATGGTTGGTCGGTTGTGGCAGCGTCTCTGGCACGACCTCCGCTCACAAAGGTAGTTAGGTATGTGGCTCGCGTGACGTTACATACAACCAAGGTCGGAGAATGAACCGAGAAATCGATGGCTTCGTCCTCTCCTCTACGCTTACGTTTTTCCACGTTTGTTAGTCGACTTATCTCTCGACGAGAGCTCGCAAAGGCGGCGTCTCCGTGAGTCCATTTCGGACTAAAATCGTCACGAGTTGGCTGCTCGCCTCGATTGCTTGTGAGTCTCCAGTTGGTGAGAAATAATTATCAAGAGAATTTTACACGTCGAATGTAACGATACTCTTGGAATTATTCTTCAGAATTTCTTTGACAATTGAAAAATAATCGTGTTTGTGCCCTTTCGATACTTTTATTCCTAATTGATCACTATCATAAAAATTATTCTCCAGAATTTTATTTGCTTAATAACCCCTCTCTCTTTTTCTACTCTCGACTCGATATCCGGAATGCGAGGAATCTCGAAAGAGGCTAACGATAACACTGATGAAAAACATCAACACCTCGACTCGGAATCACGTTCGATCGAGAAAAGGTCGACGAGCCTATTTCCAGTTGGGCCCGCTATCGTTTCACCGCATCTCATCCGCAGGTGCAGCATGCCTTAACGAGCGACTTCCGTCGCGCTTATAATTCATCCTGCATCCTTGTTTCGCGATTCATTCATAATTCGTAACGGTACACGCGATCGTTCTTTCGATCTCTCGAGCCGCCGCTGGAACAAGGGTGTGAGAGAGACCGTTTCGCTCGAGATCTAGCTTTCGAGATCGATCAGCCGATCGTTCGTTCCACAACCCTCTTCCTTTCGAACATTTTTGAAAAACGGGTTTCATTTAATTTCATTTAGGATCGATTCAATTTCGGATGAGATGGAAATGAAAACGTTCTGCGAAGAACATTTCGAGAAGTCGAGTTGTTTCGAGTTGTTCTAGATTAGTCTCTCTCTTCTTTTCTTTCGAACATTTTTGGAAAATGGGTTTGATTTAATTTTTAGGATCGATTCAACTTTGTTTCGAGTTGTTCCAGATAGTTTTGAGATACGTTCATTCATTGTTTCGATTGACGTATTCGGTGATTTGAATAAAAATTATATATAATTTTCCGGAATTGATTCAACAGCGATTGGAATGCGAGGAATGCGAGCGGTTGTTGCGATCGGATAGTTGAGTTTGTCGAGAGTTTGAAAGAGAGTTATAGAAGATGAACAGTGGATTGCGGGGATAGGGGAGAGGGGTTGATGTTTATGGAAGAGGGGAAAGTAGGAAAAGAGATTCACCTTTAAGGAGAGAAGGTGAATTGATTGATAATGAAAGTTGATCAATGGATCTGAAATTGTGACAATGCGATCGTTTCTTCGTTCTTTATTATTTATTATTTCTTTTTATGAGTTTATTGAACTATTAATTCCGCATTGAATTCAAAGAATGCGGAACAATAGAATTTCTAATTTTAAAGATCTTAAATAAGATACATCTGTAATGCAATTCTTAAACGATAAATTAATATTTCCAAGTATATAATGTAATTTGTAATTAATCTAGTACTATTGATTCGCTTATAAAACAGAATAACTATTTTCAATTCAACTAACTCGTTCTGTTTTTATTCTTCTGTTGCAGAATTCGTAATTGAACAGGAAGATCATGGAAGATATTGGAAAACAGGAAATTGGTCAAAATGTTCTTAATCGATAAATCGCCTGTGAATAGGAATCATAATTGTGTTTTTAAATTTGATATAAGTTTTTGATTTTTGAAAAAAAATAGTGGGGTGGAGAAAAGTAATGGAAATTAAAGAATGAACAATTTTTGAAGAAGATTCTCACGAGGGATTTCGCCCATTTTAAATGGGCGAGGAGAGATCGTAGTACGGCCTTTGAGAAGGCTTAGAGAATCGAGAGGTCGCGACCATTTTTGGTGGCGATGTTCACGAAGTGGTCCTTCAACTGGACACAGGAGCACGTAGGAAAAAGGATCGCAGAGTAGTCTACGGAGTCTAGGCTACTATGACGGACTATTTGGATCCACATTTCGTCAGGGCTCTCTGCCGCGATCCAGAACGACGAACGCTTCAAGTGAGTTGATGAAATTGCACGATCGTGATTGAATCGTGATTCAAACTAGTAGTGCTACTGCTTTTAACGTAATAATTTATTTAAAAGTTATTTAAAAGTTATTTAAAAGTCGATGCCAGGGATTAAAACGAACGAAAGAAATGAAAAGAAAAATATCAACTTTTGAATTTTAATTGATTATTTTCTTTTTCTCTCCTTCTCTTTAATTTTTATCTGTTGTAATTAACTCTAACGAATATTGGTGTAACACAACTTTTTAGTAAGTGAATTATCACTTGTCTTATGATCACTTGTTCAATCGTGATCGTTAATGGAGTTGAACTTTCAACGGATGGTTAAAGTATTTGAAATTGTTCCTGGTTCAACTTTCACTTTGTTGCACTTATAAAACAAACAAAATGCACATTATAAGTGGATACATAAGCGCAAAATTTTCTTTAATAAAAAATTCTATCGTGTTGCCATATGTTAATTTTTCCTAATTCTAAAAATTTAATGATTAATTCTCAAAATTCTGCATCCCCTTCTCGCTCAACGAATTTTTAAGAATAAGAATCTGTCAGAATAGTTTATCCTTCGATACCTCCATAACTTCCCAAAATTCCCAAAATTCTGCATTTACACGCGCCCATTTCGATATTTTACTTATCAAATTTTTAAGAATCTCTCGGAAGATAATTTATCCTTCGTTGTCCTCGGTAATCCGTGATTTTACGCGAAAGCGTACACGCACAAAGGCTTACTCGTTTTTACGGTGGCCGACGAAAGGTTAAAGGGCGTCGTCAATATCCGGTAGGACTGTTCGAACTTTCCAAACGAATAATAATCCACCGCTTCTTATCTTCGCATAATCGCGTTGAACTTGTGCGTCCCCTGGAATTTCGAGGGGGGGTGGGGGGAATTTCTTTCGCGATGAAAATATCCTCCCCTTGCTCCTCTTGTTCGAGCTTCCTCTCAGTTATTAATATTCATTGTCGAAGGTTAAAAGGGTTTTCGAATTTTCGATAAGGATTTTCATTAATAAAATAATAAAGATTTTGATCCGATGAAAGGATTTTGAGAAATGAAAATTTATATCCCAGCCATTATTGGTATTTTTTTAATATGATCTTGGATAATTAAATTAAAATCTTTTTCGATAATTAACACTTTCCAATCTTTCTACAATCATATTTTTCTTCGTGTAATCAACGACATTTAAGAATTGTTTTCTTCGATAATAAAACTTTACTTTTTATATCGAAATTGTAATTTTCAATCACGTAACATGAAAATTTCTTTCAAAATTTTAACAAGCGCGTGATCGATTTATGATTCTGACGAATAACCAATCGAAGCAATTCCTTTATCGAGACAGTTCGAGTAGAAAGTTTCGCGATTTAAAGATTCTGTCTGAGTTCTTTTTTTTTCTTTCTAATATCGTTAAAACTTCTTACTATCCGATTCTTCGTGTTCTTTATCGGATAAAGCTGTGAAGTAATGCCTTTGAAGTATCGGAAATGGATAAAGAATTTTCAGCGGAAAGGATTCCCGTGTTCAATGTGACGTGGAAGAAACTTGTCAGTATCAAAATTCTGACAAAGGGAAAATTCTTGTGCTGTCAGATGCAATATTTACGTTTCTTATTCTCGTAAGTCGTTCGTAATTCATATTTTTCAAAAAAAAAAAAAAAAAATTCTATTAAATTTGCTCGTAAAACATTTTTCATAAAAAAAGATCGAATGAAACGTCGTAAATATTTAAGTATCATCCTGTATATATACAAATGATCGTTTCTTAATTATATTATCTTCTTTTTTTTTTTTTTTTTTTTTGTCAAAATCATCTTCATACTTTCGTGTAATTGAATCAAACACGAAGTGAAAATTGGTAACCATTTAATATAATGGGGATATTAAAAGTTTTAATAATTTATTTCCAGAGAATTCGACAATCGTTTCGAGACATTCGCAACTTCCTTCCAATAACCATCTTTCTTTCTACCCTTTAACTGTTTTTGGTCCCCCTTTGCATTTGTGCTAACTACCAATCGTACGTATCTAATTCGAACGGTTGATTGGGAAAACTAGCTCGTTTTATTCCATCGCGATGTCCTCTTCCAATCGCGCCACGTATCAACGATCGAAATCGATTTTTCCGATAAAATGCCCCGTCACGTGTGTTGCTACCGCGACAAAAAAATTGGCGACGAGCCAATACAATTCGTTTCATTGTCAAAGACGTGATCGAATTTAAATGCTCTTTTTTCCCCCTCCCTTCCCTCCTCGTAATTTTCAAATATGAACACTCGAGCGTGTATGTATGTGCGTGTGTGGGAGGGGAAAAAGAATAGTTTAAACGAAAGAAATAACCACGAGTCGTTCGTTTTCTCTCTCGTTTTTTTTAATCAATTCCCTTTGCCTTTCGCTCCTCCAATATTTCCCCCATTCAAAAGAGGACTTTTGACGTCTCGTTTGAGTTTCAACGGATGAAATGTACAGATAATGACGTAGATTTTGTAAACTCGACTCGCCATGTTGGAAATTTTGCGATAAAATCTTTTTGAACGGATGATAAAAAAAAACACGTAGGGAATTTTATTTAAGCCATTTTATTTTTCTTTCTTACTTGGGCAAATTCGTACGTGAAATTTTTATTTTGAACCGAAGAATGCGAAAAAGTGAGAAAAATTTTTGCTTTGAAAATTTGCTTTGGTTGAGAAGTGTAGAGCGTCGCCGAGGAGGGACAATGCGATTCTATTTCGACCTAAAGAATCTATCTTTACTCCTGGATAAATTTATCCATCTAATTTTCATGGGGAGGCAGTTTAAAATTCCAGGAATATCTTTTGCACACATTACTCACTCGCACCCTTCCATCCTTTATCTGGAATTTATCTTGAACGGAAGATAACTTTGAGAAATTACATGCTCTCAAAAAATATTTGCCTAATCTCTGTTCGACTAATCCCCTTTATCTCCACCATTGTCTTTATCTAATTTCGTTGCGGAGACAGGTTTTAAAAATCCAAATATATCCTCAAATATTTGTACACTTTGCGTGTAATTTTCTTTATCTACTGCACAATTCGATCAGTTAAGAGATAAGTTTAATCGCCTTTAATTTTTCTGTATCAAAATTTTCTTCGATTCCCCCCCCCCCCCTTTTTTTTAATCGAGCAATTTTATAAAAATAGAACTCGAATCAACTACTCGATAAACTTATTCTCGAATATTTATTTTTTCCTCCAACGAACTTTAGCATGAAATTTTTGTAACTAAGATCAATAAAAATTTTCAAAATATCTTCCATTTAGACACAATGCGAATAATTATATTTCCTAACTCATCGTATCGATTCCCACCATCGTCCTTTCGGAAAAATTAATCCGAGTCATGATGATTTTCACAAAAAAAAAAAAAAAGGAAAAAAAAAGACGTATCATGGAATTCTAGAGCGAGAATTCGCTGCGGTTTCCCAGACGTCCTTCTGCTCCCTTCGTTATTTTCGTGCTAATTTGCAACCGGTGGAATCGCGAGGAGAATGGCGAACTGCGGCGTGCAGTGTCGCGCGTGCACCAATGCAAAGCGTTCGCTAAATAGGGAGAGACGTCGAAATTCAGGGAAACAGCCGCGATCCCGCGCACAATGAAAGTCTCAGAGATATTGTGCGAGATATCGATCCAGACCTGGCAAGTCTTTTAAACAAATAATAGCTTCCCTCGATCGGTGCAAAATTGATTTTCCCCCTTTTGTTTCTGACATGTTCCTTTTATACTCCGATCGATCTTCTTTTCCTTTTTTTTTTTTCATAAGGAAGTAAAATTGTTAATCGTTTAAAATTTTATAAATCAAACAAACAATCGTGCGATCAAATCTCTTTGAAGATTGAATTAAATGTATGGTTAAATATATGGTTTTGCTTCGCGAATCGATAAAGTGAAAATATTAAAATGATATATCCTTGCATCGAAGTAAATAAGCGCCCTCTAATTGAATCGATAAAAATTTTATTATACAGAAAAACGTTTAGAATCTTTCTACCTTGTGTTTCAAATCATTCTTTTTTCTTTCTTTCTGGACTTACTTTATTCGTAAAAACAACGGAACAAACTCCGTCACTCCGAGTGTTTGAAGTTTCACTCTCGCGGAAACGATTGACACAAGCTTTTTGACGCAGCTTGTCTGCTATACGTCTGTCGTATAACAAGTCTATCCAACTTTATTATCCATGCTCGTGCATTTGTTCCGTCCGATTGTAAACGGCATCGATCGCGCACGGTTCAGGAAAAAGGAGAAGTTGTGGAAACGTTGGACGTTGGGTTCAATAGATATTCTGAGCCCCTTCTTTCGATATTTGTTAACGATAAGTTAATTTCGTTATGATATTTTCGAGGCGCGTATCTTCGTCTAAAAGATTAAGACATCTTATTCAATGCCGGTGAGATATAATCGATAGAAAAGGGATCGGGATATGATGAGATATGGAAATGATTTCTCAACCTGTCTATCCGTAATTTATTATACGGTGTCCTCTTTAAGATTAAATTTCCTTGGAGGATTTGTAGAAAGAGAATTTTTTCAAATTCAAATTGCGATATGTTTGATTGTAAAAATTTAATGATTTTGAGGAAGAATAATAAAATACGCCGTGATAAAATACTTTTTAACAACATAAATGACATCTCTGTCATATCCTTTAAATTCCCTGAAAAAGAAATTTTTTTATTCGAATAAAATTATATTATCTCTTTCGAAAGAGCGACCCATCCTCTCAAATATTTCACGTCATATATATATATATAGTCAATAAAACGTTATGCGATAAAATTCAAGAAACTCGCATTCACAAATAAAACTCGTTCTTTTTTTTTTTTACTTCGATTTTACCTTTCGCATTTATATTTTCGTTTCTCTTCACGCGATTCGATTTCAACAAATATGTGTTGGAGAACGTGCGAAAACGGGAGGAGAAAAAAATAATAATAAAAAGATAGGGAGTTAGGAGTTGGTAACAAATAT